ATATATATATATCCTTTCCAATCAAACAGGCATTTACTTACTAAATGCCAAACAAATCAAGAACTGAACCACTCCATGAATTTTCATGAGATGAATGTGCCCATGTTGTCATGCCCCGGTCAGGGAAACAGTTATCGCCTATGGACCTGCCTTTGGGCTTCTCTCCCCAGAGGCAATCACTAGCCCAGCAAGTTCCTTCTTGAATCTTATGTTGATGAAATTGCTCTCTTCTGTTTGGTTCTTTCCTTTTCTCTTCTATGATGGCACATGATTAATCATGGGTCTTGCCTCAAGAAGCTCATAGTCTGATGGAGAATTCACAGAACTTGGTTCAAGCTCTTTCACAATATCAGCATCTGCCCTGAGGCCATGTCCATAGGATTCCCTTCTTTGGGTTTTATTATTTTCCACCTCCTTCATAAGCTCTGCAGAGGCTGAGATCCTGTGCTCAAGTCTTGGGACCAGGAGTGGAAGGCCCATGATTTCTAACCTTATATAACTTCCTTGTATTAAGACTTAGGGAATAATTTAATATCACAATTCCTCAAAAATGTTATGAAGTTCTTGAATCAATATCAGAGATTATATATCTCAACTATCTCCTCTTGCATCCAATCGTTTCTCTAGGGATTTTATTTTTAAGTCACATGGTATCCTCCTCCCATGGGGCTTCCTAGGACAGGCTTGGGTAGAGAACAGGAGATAGGAAGTTCTTTTAGATGAAACCTTGGAAGTTTCTTCTGAGGGAATCTGATAAGGAATTAGCATCCATACCAGCACCTCACTAGCTCTTCTCCATGCCTGCTCAGAGACACCTGGGAGAATAAAGGTACCCATGAGAACATTCCCCTAAGAAGCAAAGGGGCTGTCTCCTCCTCAGCACCTTTCTGAGCATTTCTATCCCCTCTCCTTCAGCGAGTGCCTGCCGAGGAGATCACTTATGAAACACTGAAGAAGGCCATTGGTAAGTCGGGCCCCAAGAGACTTTGGAGAGAGAGGAGACTGGGGCTGGCTTCCACATCTGCTGCCCACCCCAATGACACTGACCTGGTAGCAGAGGCTGATGATGTCCTGTGAACTCATCAACCACCAAAACTGCAGTTGAAAGTCTCCACTCCCCTAATGAGGGTCAGTCACTAAATGGCCTTTCCATGACACCTCTTGAACATTCTGTACACACTGCCAGCCTTCCTAAACTTCTCACAGTGGCCATTTTTTTTAAAAAAAAATTTATGTGTATATGTGTATTGACTGCATGTAGGTAAGTGCACCCGTGTCGTGCAATGCCCATGGAGGTCAGAAGAGGCTGTTGAATCCCCTGGGATTGGAGTTATGGACAGCTGTTAGCTGCCATGTAGGTGCTGGGATTTGAACCTGGGTCTTCTGCAAGAACAACCAGTGTTCTTAACTGCTGAGCCATCTCTCCAGCCCAGTGGCCGTTTTTTAACCTCAAAACCCACTCCCCTTTCTTTTTTTGATACTTAACTCATTTTGGATAGCAAGCAATGTATGTAAAACCTTAAGTTGAATGGGCCTTATACTGTGCTGTGGGGAGTCTTGCTGCCTTTTCCATCATTCCAGTCCTCCTTTCAAATTATCCCTACAGTACTAAAAGGACCTACTGTCCTGGGACTTTCTGTTTGAGAATCTTAGCAGTGGTACAGCTACTTGGGACTTTAAAAGCCCTGCTGAAAGCCGGGCGTGGTGGCGCATGCCTTTAATTCCAGCACTTGGGAGGCAGAGGCAGGCAGATCTTTGTGCTTTCAAGGCCAGCCTGGACTCCATGAGTGAATCCAGGCCAGCTGCAGCTACAGGGAAACCTTGTCTCAAAAAGACCAAAAAAAAAAAAAAAAAAAAACCCTGCTGAAGGACCCATTTGACTGACTGTTGGAGGGCTGAGCCTTAGGCAGAATCAGGAAAAGGTCTATGGGGCCACTTGAGGCCTTTCACCCCTTCATCATCAGCAGAGGGCAGATTTCCCAAGAGTCTGCCCTTCCCATCCCCTCAAGCTCCTCCCCCTTCTCATCCCCGGGGACAACCTGAACATTAACCTAGCTCTGTGTCACAGTGGACAGTGTCGCAGTTGAGGAGCAGGAGCGTGAGCGACGGCGACAGGTGGTAGAAAAATTCCAGAAGGCACCCTTTGAGGAGATTGCAGCCCACTGTGGGGCCCGGGTGAGTGAGATACCACGGGTGCCTTCTTGAACAAACAGAAACCAGATTTGGGTCCTGGGAATTACCTGAGTTCAAATCTTGGATCTTTGTCCTTCTGAAATTGTGGTTTGGGTTCCAGATTAGAGAATGCTGTGATTTTCTCAATGCCCTTCACTACATTGCTCCTCCTGAGCCCAACGATGGGGCATTTAGCACACACTATCCTAGACCTCACTGTTTTCACATGAAGAAGTCCTGCCCCCATTAGCTCTGGCAGTAGCCGGTTCTGTTACACTTGCTACCATATTCGCCAGGCGTGGTGGCACATACCTTTAGTCCCAGCACTCGAGAGGCAGAGGCAGGTGGATCTCTGTGAGATCAAGGCCAGCCTGGTCTACATAGTGAACTCCAGGCCAGCTGAGGCTACAGGGAGACCCTGTCTCAAAAAGACCAAAAAAAAATTTTTTTTAAATACTTGCTACCATATGGAACTACCATATGGACAGAAAGCTAGATAAGTAGAGATAAGGACTTTGACTGGACTTGAGGGCAAACAATAAATGGTTCTTTTATTTTTAAAGTTATATTTATTATCATGTATGTGTAATGAAGTCAAAAGAACAACTTTATGGAGTCAATTTCTCCTTCACTTTTATGTGGGGTCCAGGGATTGAACTCAGGCTGTCAGCCTTACAAAGCATGTACTTTATCTGCTGAGTCATCTTGCCAGCCTGGTTATTTTATTTTAAATGGGAATCTTGTTATGCAGCCCAGGCTGGCCTTGAAGTCACTATGTAGCCCAGGCTTGCATCAAACTTCCTATCATCCTATCTCAGCCTCCTGAGTGCTAAAAGTGCAGGCATGTGACTTATATTTTATTTATAAAAATTTGCATATTTTATATCTATATTAAAATATAGATCTTTCTGAACCTGTTACCCTAACTTTCCATCCCATCTTGAAAGGAGACTGCCCATTTCATGGGCTAAGAGTTGAGACCCATTTACTGGACACATGTCAGTCAAGAAGAGTGACATCGGCTCCAGTCTCCTTACTCAATATCCAGCAGATCCTACTGTCCCATATTAAAGAGTAGGAACCTACCAGAGTCCTCCCTGGTGGCCCTCTGTCCTGTCCCCAACTAGCCTTTGATCAGTGGCTGTCCCTGATCTGAATGCAGAGGTAGTTCCAATAGACAAGTTTTAGGGACAAGATATCCCTGGTTACCTTCTAACAGTTGGAACTGCCAGGCACCTCAGGTAGCCTTTGGACTATGGCCTGTGAGGCAGTGGTATACACTTGGAGTCCATAGCTCACAATCCCCTCTGTTTGTGTCTAGGCATCACTGCTGCAGAGCAAACTCAACCAAATCTTCGAAATCACCATCCGGTAAGTGGCAGCATGGGCAGGGGATCATACCTCTACCCCTAACCTTTGTCTCCAGCCCCAGATCAGAGTTGGTGTCCCCACCAACTCTGCCTAGGTGAAGAAATTTAGAGACACAGAGAGAAAGAGGCTGGCTTAGTAAGGCCTAGAAAGGGCCAGTGGTCCTAGTGTGGGTTATTTTTTTTTTTTCTAAGACAGGGTCATCCTGTAGCCCCAGCTGGCCTGGACCTCGCTATACAGACCAATGTAAACCAGGCAGGCCTCAATCTCACAGAGAACTGCCTGCCTCTGCCTCTGCCTCCCAGGTGTCAAGATTAAGGGCATGTACCACCACACCCAGCTTTGATTTCTAAAATAGCCCTGTCACCATAGAACCTACAGGAAGTCTTCACTGAGATGTAGATTCTAGAACATCTTGAAAACCCAGGAGCTCATGGAGTAGCAAATTCCCTGGCTCCTTTTCAAAGAAGCCTAATCAGCTGCTATGTTCACTTGTACAAGGGTGGGCCCCCACTTTCTGCTTCATGCTTTTCTCATGTTTTCCCCCAGGCCCCCTCCAAGCCCATCAGGAACCATCACTGCAGCATACGGCCAGCCTCAGAACCACTCCATTCCTGTGTATGAGATGAAGTTTCCTGATCTGTGTGTGTACTGAATTCCAAGAGATGGAGACCCTCAGAGGACAGGGTCTGCAGGAGGTCTTGTCCTCCTGCCCACTCCTACCACGTGGAAACCTAGCTGGGATCACCGAGAAAAAGTCACCTTGGACAGCGGCTCCTCCCCAGCTAAGCAAAGGTGGAGCCTCCTGGCCTTCTCTGGTCCTTTGTGGCCCTCCTTTCACCTCCTTGTCTTCTGTGAGGAAGATCCAGCCACCTGCCCTCTGGGGCTAATAAGCATCTCACCTGTCTTCTCTTTTGTGTCAGCCAGGGATAAAGAATCATGAGGGTGTCTCCAATGAGAAGCAGATGGGCCTGGAAAGCTAGCTGTGTTGGTGGAAAGACTTCCACTGGGGACATGTCTATGAGGGAGTGTCAGTCATCCCCAAGGGAGAGAGCTGTATGGAAACTCAGTTGGTCAAAGGAAGCCAGAGGTGGCACTTAGAGAAACTGAGGAAAGTCTCCCTTATAAAGAGGTGACAGTGTGAGAGCTGGAAGATGATGGCTGCTCTCACCCCCAGCAGCTCTCCTCTCCCCTTAGCTCTTGGGTGTCTTATCAACCCTCTTCACTCTCTAGTTGTCCTTGTTGCTTTCTATCATTAATGAATACAGAACCCTGAACAGCAGGTGCTGGGGGTAGAGACCCTGGGGACAGTAAGGTGGGCAGAAGAGTGGCAAACTGGGGATAGAGAGGGGCTGGTTCTCCCTGGCTGAACAACAGCCTCAGCAAAGCACAAATGGAGTGAGTCCCTGTCCCTGTGTAGCATCTTCTCACCTCTGTTCAGAGGAAGCTTATGGTGGCCCTTCTACAGTTCTCTCTCTTCTGAATATTTCTCTGAGTTGGTTAAATTCTCTCTCTGATGTCTCCCTTCTAAGTATCCTATAATGTTTCCATAATCTCTGGAATGAGAGAAAACTAAGCAAGTTTATGTGGTTCTAGATGATTGAGATGTAGAGAGGAAGTTCAGGGCCCACAGGCCTTGCCCACCTCACCTCCTGTGGAAGAGGCTCCTATCATAGGCTTGGGGAAGGGAAGGAGAGGGAAAAGTTGGGCAAGTGTCACTTTGGGGCTCAAGAAAAGAAGGATCCAACAGCTAGTATTAGAGAGATTTCTTCATTCTCTGGACAAAGTGTGGGACACTGATGACAACTGGCCTTGTTGCGGCCTGAGGAGAAGTGGTGGAAATCCCTTTGGGTTCACTTTCCCTGTGTGCCATCTACCTGCGCCTGTGTGACTTATGTGTGTGCTAAGAGCAGCTAACCCAAGACTGGGTAGGTGCCCAAAAAAGGCCACTTGCCACCCTCTCAGTGAGTCCTGTTCCTGATCACCCCCCTCTGGACACCTATGTGCCTCCAAGGGCACCTCAGGAAGCACCCCAGGCCTCCTCCAATGGCAGCACCCCATGGTCCAGCATAGTCCTTTCTTTCCCTTTCTAACTTCTGGGCTGTTTTTCCTCACAGGAAGTTATGCATGGCCCAGTGTTGCCTCTAGAGATTTAACTTTTTAGAATGATTTGTTGGCCTTCAGGAATCCCTTTCTAGGGTACAATTTTAGGCATTGTGGGCTGGGGTCAGAAAGGGTCTCTTGCTGCTAAGGAGAGGGTAGGCTTCTCAGAATACCTTCCATCACATCCCTGTACACACCCTGCATAATGACAGTCTGCTGATTAGGACAGATGGAAGCATTTTCCAAAATCAGGAGAACCTAAATCCATGTACTTCCCCACCACACCTGTGGTAAATATTGAAAGGAGGGGCCTATCTCACCCTGACCCTGGAGGGTTTCACTCCAGATGCCCTTCTTTCCTTTGGTCCTGTGCTGAGCTGTGGACTCCTGGCTCCCGCATGGCCTGCATGATCTCAGGCTCCCAAGGGCCAGCCCCTGCCATGGCTTTGGGGCTATATTCTATGGCTTTGCTCAACTCAACTTTATAAGCGTGAACTTAGATTTCTCTTTAATATATCTTTACTAAGAAACCAAGTTTAAAATGACTGTAAGCAAACTTGAAGGCAGATAACCTTTTAGAAACTACAGTCTAATCCTTGGGCTACAAACATATCTTTCCTCACTGGATCACCCCATCTTTTATCCCATGTTTGGCTTGGATGAGACACTGTTCCTATCTTGTTCCCGAGTCACTGCAGGGTCCACTCCTGAGGCAGCTTTGCCCTAGTTCTGGGTTGTGGGAGTTGGTTCCTGTAGTATTTCTAGAGCCAGTATTAGAGCCAGAGACCTGCAGGTCCACTCTGTCCCTCACCCTGTCTTGGGAACAGAGGAGAGAAAGGGGCAGGATTCCAAGTCTGCAAACTCAACTGCTGCTCAGTCTTCCTCCTTTTTTCTTCCTCTTTTTCTTCACAGCAAGGCTGTTTAGCAGGGTTATATTATTTTAGGAGAGCTAACTGCTAGAAAATTAGGTTGCCTGCTGACAGGAAATAGAATCTAGATCCTGGCCAACTATGCATCAGAAGCAGAAATCTAAATTATGAACACTGTAGTGTCTGTCACCCCATCCTGGCCTAGGAGAGACCTGGGAAAGAAGCAGAAGCAGAGTGGAGAGGGGGTGGGTCCAGATGGAGGAACCCAGAGCCCAGTCCTTGGCCAGGTATCCCCACATCCTGCCTTCCTGGCCTCTGGCATCTGATAGTACTGCCTCATGCCCTGTTGGCTACCTGTCTCTTGTGAACTTGAGTCAAGAGGAGCCAGCAAGCCCATTTAGACCACTGCCCTCCACCCACCCCAAAGCACCCAGGACTCTGGCACCCATGGACAAGGGCAAGGGCCCAGGGAGTACTGTCCTCTTGACAAAACTTATTAGGCATGAATGAACTTGAAGTTTAGAAGTTAACTTGGTTTAGTCATAAAAGTACATAAAAAGTAAACCACCATGTGGTCTCAGAGGCAGCTTCTGTTTTCCCTGTACTGTGCTTGTTCCTTGCCTTTGAAGAATAGAGTAAATGGCTTTTTGACTCCTCAACAGCCTCACCAAAAAAACCAGAAAAGTCTTGGTTTGTCCAGCCCAAAGGATAAGCAGGGGAAAATTGACCTGGGACTAAGGACTGTATGCAGAACAGCAATGTCCTGCACACTGCCTGTGCATGGGCTATTCCAGGTCCCAAAGGACATGGTTCAGACTGGAGCAAGAGTCAGAAGAGCCCTAAGTTTCCTTTGAATGGAACGTCTCTGGACTCCAGGGGTGGGGGTGCCTTCTGGTTGCCTTACCACTGTCCCAGACTGCCCTATCCACTACAGTGAATGCTGCTAAGAAGTGAGTGGCTGGCTAGTTTGGGGTCTATGGGAAGTGAAAGACTTGAACTGTTAGTCTAAGTGTTAAGTTTAAAGGCGGGGGGGGAGCTTACATCTGGGGAAAGGCTCCAAGAAATCTATTGTTTCTATCTAACAAAAATCTGGTTTACTGAAGCCCTATAACCCAAGCTGGGTCTAGAGCTAAAGACCACAGAAAGGGAATCATTGGGCAGGAGGGAATCACGGGGTAGTGGGGTAGGGTGGTGCTGTCCTGGAGCCTAGTTAATTGAGCAAGTTGTAAGGAGGAGCCACAGAGAAACAGGAAAGACTTTGTGACCCTATTGGCTCTTCTTTGTCACCAGTCTGGCTGACCAAGTCTTTTCCAGGGAACAGAGGGCCTCCCGAGCCCGGCATCTTCCCCTTTTGAGCTCCTCCATGATTATCGATGCTGGTATATGGACTATAGGGTTGTAAATCTGCAAATACTGCAGCCCATCCATCCTAATGTGTTTTGAGTACATTTAGATCTTCATGACCTGGCTGAGTGTGCGTGTTCCTATGTGTGTGCATGTATGTAATACAGTTTGCAGTTACTGTTATGTATATAATAGCTGACATTTATATGTGAGTGCAGAATTGGCACCTGTGGCAGTTTTCTGTACTTTAAACTTGTTAAATCAAGCTAGTTTTCTTTTGGAGAAGGGGAGTATGGAGAGTATAGGAAGAAGAACTCAGCAAAATCATTCTTTAAGATTATCTAGTTGTGGTTTCCCAATGAGCCTACATGATGCCCTTTCCAAATAAATGTTAATGTTGTCACCCATATGGCTCTTTGTTTGATTTCTGTAAAGGAAATGGTTTTCTGAGATAAAAACAGAATCTGAAAATATCAACAGTGTACCACTGACATTTAGCCACCCCCACTGACCCTTGCTTTACCTGGCTCAGTAAGGAGAAGGATGCTGAGGCCAGGATTTGCAGTGAGGGAGCATCCTCAGGAGGGCCCAGGCCATTCTTCATTTTGTTGATGTCTTACAATCCTCTTCTGGGAGACCTCAGTCGGGCTGACTCCCCTCACACCAAGATTCCTCCAGTACTCATCCTAATTTTATTTGTGAACTCCCAGAGTATCAAATATGAGGGTATTTCCCACGAGGCTTGGATGTGTATCATCTACTGATGCCAAACACAAGTGACAGGTACATGTGTGTCCCCTGTAATTATAAGCGCGTGGTTGCAAACCCGTGACTCCAGAATTGTGAAGACACTACCGGGGCACAGAAGTAACACAACATCTGGTTTCTGCCCTGTGAGTTTGAAATTTCTCTGGGAGGGGGCATAAAACACGTACACAACACATTACTTGTCACCCTGGCCAGCTAGCATGCCCTACAGCACAAGGGGCTGGGCACAGAAGCCCTGAAAGTGAGATGGGGCAGCTAGACAAGACCTTGACTGGCCCAGTGGATGTGGTCTTAATCCTGGGCTTGTATTGAAAAACAGCAACATTCCCAACCGTGGAGGAAGGCAAGAGTGGAATGGAGTCCAGGCAGTGAAAAACAGGAGAGGAACAGTGAGATGACAGACAGACATGAAGCAGAGCCATCATCCCAGGAAACATGGGATACCAGTTTGGTAGGAGAAAATATGGTTGACATGGGTTTATATATCTTGTCCCAGTGGTTTGTAGAAAGTGGAAGATTGTAGTGTAGTGGACACTCTTTTGGCTGGTGAGCTAAGGAATATGAGAGCAGCAAGCACTTTTTAAATATTAGTATGAACAATTTGCATGGGCAAGGAAACAACTGGAGACCAGTATGTTACTGCATTAGGACAGTGACAGTCTGATCTAGAACTGAGAATGAAGGCTGAGGTTGGGCATCTCAACAACAGAACTGGGGAGTGGGGGGACACAGCAGGGCAGGAAACAAGACTTCAAGCTTGAGCCTGAGGGCCTGAAGAAGGCAGCTGGGTACACTGGGTTAAAGCAGATGTGTGTCTCCATAGTGTGTACAGACGAGGGTAAGACCATGTGTTTGAATCTGTGAATAACTAAATTGGAACTACTAACAACTCTCACACCCCAGTTATGCTGCTTAATGATAAAAAATAATCACATCCACTTTCTCCCTTTATCCTTGCCATAGCCCTTACCCTAGGAAGGAGTAGATGAGACAACTGAATCTTGGAAAGGTTCAGGAACCTGCCTGGAGTCACAGATACGGAAGAACATAGCCAAAGCTTCCTGGGTGACAGCACAGACTCCACAGTCAGGAGTGAGGCCTCAGGGATGCCCACCTGGCTTGGATTTCTTGTAGTCACTTTTGTAACAATCCTATTTTTTTGACAAATCAGATAGCTGAGCAGTCATCCTAGAGTCCTGGACAGAGAACCACCCTGTGCTATCCAAACTATTTGCCCTCATAACCCATTTACTGAGGAAATGGGATGGAAGTATATTTTCGTTCCATTCTACCACTTGGTCATATGGAAATCTTTATGTTCCCCTTCCAATATGTGATGCTTTTGATGGTTGTGTAGTGTGAGTTTATTCACAAACTCTACATTCAAAGTCAGAGCCGGCTGTGAAATCTGAAAGGTTTTATTTCCTAACTAAAAGGCTGGAGGTTGGCGGCTACAGCTGCTCCCAGCGAGTGGCACGCCAGGTAGAGAGGTGGAAGGCAGGCAGGCGAGGCCAAGAGGCCTTAGGGCGAACTTCCCAGGGGAAGAGAAGCCCCTGGGCCCCGCTGCACCCTCACTGGCCCTTCTTGTGGGCATTCTTGATGATGGCGTTCTTGAAGAGCGTCACCAGGGGCGTCTGGCTCTTCTCGGAAGTCATGAAGCCCCCGTAGCGCTTGTCCTTGGGCGGGCTGCTCCAGCGGAAGTGCTCCATCCGATAGGGCCCGTCGTCCTTCTTCTCAGCATCGGGCTCCAGGCCGTGCTCCAGGCTGTACTGCTGGCCTTCGGGGCCGGGTGAAGCCTCGGGCTGCTCTCTCGCCAGCTCCCTCTTGAACTCCAGGGGGAAGGCCTCGGCCGACTCGTCCTCGGCGCCGTTGGGGTACACCTTCACTGGGCGCCGCTTCTTGCCCACCGGCTTGCCCCAGCGGAAGTGCTCCATGGAGTAGGAGCGCTTGCCCTCGCGTGGGCCCTGCACGCCCACGGCATCCAGGCCCTCGCCCGCCGCCACCTCCTCCTCGCGCTTCGCCGAGCCGCCTGCTCCACTGCTGTTTCGCTGGCCGAAGCGGTTCCAGCGGAAGTGGCCCATGACGTACTTCCGGGGATTCTCGGTCAGTCGCTGCTCCTCGCCGTTCCCCGGGAACACCGGGGTCTCAGCGGAGAGGTCAGGTTTGCAGGCCCGGATGCACTCCTGCGGGAGAGCCCGAGCACGTGAGCAGGGCTGGGCCCTGGCCGCACCCTTGGCCTCCCTGGAGCCACTTCGGGCCTCGAGGCCGTCCTGCCCAGCACATGGCTACACGGTCCTCCAGGCCCCAGGGACATGCTGTCCTATTACCGTGCATGTGTCTGATTTTGTCCCTGTGTAATTGTACCTGGCGACAGCAGCAAACACCCCACCCCATTCTCTTTTAAACTTGGTCTGTCTTCCCTTAGCTTTTATGAGCAGGATCTTGTGATTATATGTACTCAGAAAGGTAGGTGGTTATCATGTAATGATGAGTAAGTGTGGTTCAGTTCAAGTCCAGTAAGGACATAGGGCTAGAATTTAGTAGAGAATCTTTCCAGGTGAGGGATGTCTGGCTTCTAGGCCCTGAATTTTCAACCATGCCTCAATCTTACCCCAGATATGCAAATATGCTTCACGTTCTACCCCACCTCTGTACCTCTCCTTTGTTTCAAAACTTTCCTGCACACTGGATCTTTTGCTGTATGAGCTGATCTTTTATCAGGGAGATCAAGACAAAATGTTTCAGGAGAGATGGTTCAGTGGTTAGGAGCCATTGACTGTTCTTCCAGAGGACCCAAGTTTGGTTCCCAGTGCCCATAACCAACAGCTCACAACTGCCTGTAACTCCTGCTCCAGGGGGATCTGACCCCTCTGCTTCTACAGGCAGTGGCATGCACATACATGCACACATGCACATAATTTTTAAAAATAAAAATAAATCTTTAAAGACGTATTTTGTTTCCCCCTGCCACCTCATTCTGGCTAGAAGGAAGGGCAGGAAGCCAGAGGTATTTCCACAATAAATGCCACACTGGTGCCTCTGTTCACTGTCCCTGGAGAACTCAACTGTGGTACATAGGAAAATGACCCATAGGTTGCCTTTTTAGAGTTTCTTAAATCCATGGGAACTGCAGAGGAGAAGACAGAAAAATTCCATCCAGACTCTTTAGCTGAGGATTTTTCTACTTCAGGGATTTAGAATTATAAATCTGAGAATGTTAACAGTAGAAAATAAAAACAAAATAATTCAAGCTCCCCTCCCCTGGATAATGAAACAGGAGACTCAGAAAGGGAAAAAGACCTAAAGTCCCCCAGCTCATTAGTGTCAGAGGTGGGACTTGAACCCATGGACTCTCTGTGTTCAGCCCTCCCTCTCTGGTGAGATCTCAGTAGGAGAGGGTACACAGTGGGTGTCTCATATAAGAATCTTGGGTTTTTTCTGAGCTGGAACTCACAGAGTCCCCTAGGCTCTCTGTGTCTGTTGCATATTATATATGCAACTTTCTCTGTGTCTTGGAGAACGTCTCTCCCATAACCTAAACTCAGTTCTTTATTGATAAAATACAAAAGATGTAGTGATAGACTTTTCACTCTCACCTAGCAGGCACTGGGCACTTGGGTGCACACACATGTGCATGCACATGTCTTCCCTATGGTGACCTGGAAGGAGCTGCAACCCCACCCAAAGGGCCTTTATATGCTTCTGGAAAGACTGAAAAGGTACTTGGCAGAAAGCCTGTCCTCCAGAAACAGCATGAGACATTTGGCACCAATTACCGAAAAAAAAAAAAAAAAAAAAGGTCTTTCCTTCTCCCTCTGGAGATGTTTTGTATAACTACCTAGCTGGCTTTGTAACTGGAAATAAATAAAAAAGGATGAAATATGAAACAAAAATGGTAAAGTTTTGCTATTTAAAAAGGGATAATTTGGAGGTAAAAATGTTGGAGATATAGGATCAATGAAGAGAGCAATCCTGGTTAATAAGGCACTGTCTCTAAATAGTTTAAATGGTAGAGGTCTTCATAGGAGATCGGATGGGAAGTGAGGATAATCAAGCAGAAATTATGGTCCAGACCCTTCTCTGCAGCTGTTTCCTCCTCTGACTGGCCCTGTTCTGACCTTTTGGAAATGTTCTGCTCCTGCCCTGAGTTGCTCCAATCAATGGAAATGAATCTCCCCTTTCCCCCACCCCTTTCCTTGAAATTGTCCCAACCCTAGTTCCATCTGATGCCCAAACCAAGGTGATATCTGTGGCCCACATACCAGGAGGTTGCTTTCGGTGGTGAGGTCCTGACACTGGCTGCTCTCCAGGCACCAGCCCCGCACTTCCATGGAGGCCTGCAGCAGCAAGGCCAGAAGCAGAATCCCTGAGCGACTGTATGAGACTCTCTGCATCTTCCAGGTGGCAGGCTGAGGCTCTGCAGAGGCAAATAAGATTAGTAGGACCCCTGCAAGGAGCAGAACAATGTTGGCCAGTCACCAGGAAGGATTGCGAGCCAACACTAACAGTGCTCACTTGAGCAGCCCAGGGCTTTTTGAGGACAGGAGCGGTGCTCAGAAGATGGGCAATGTGCAAGGTGAAGTTGTAGGAGGGAGAAAGGAACAGGACTTGAGGCAACTAATGGGTAGTTTTCCCTTTATTTCCTGTTAAAGTCAGACCATTAAAAAATTGGAAATGAAGGCCATTTGGGGGATCACTTGGTCCAGCCCCTCATTTGAGAAGTAAGAAAGCTGAAGCCCAAGAGACACACTTTCACATTCATGATGAGGTAAAGGTAAGTTCTGCTTTCTCAAGCTTTCTCGGGTCACACTGTCTGGGTGAAGCTATACAGTTCAACACTCCAGATCTGAGGGGTAGGAGCAACTTGAAAAAGACAAAGGATTCTAAAATTCCTGCTCAGGATCCTATCATTCCCCTAAAAATTTCCATGAATATTAGGTTTGAATGCAGGCAAATAAGACTGGTCCAGTTAACCAAGATCTCAGGCAACCCAATTTGATATCCTGTAAAATAAGTCACCTAGGTGATTGCCATTTCCCAGACACTAGTGACTTTGGAGAGATTTGTTTTTAAAGTAAATCCAAATTCTCTTAAAACTACCTCATCTTCTAAACATATCAAATATTTTTGTTTCCTGGACCTCTCGGATGTGGTCTAAAATTTCTGGACTTGAAAAGATGTAGATGTTGTAAACAGAGGGATGGATGGACAGGAAGCCGGAAGGAAGCTGCCTCTGCTATGAAGAACCACTGAAGATACTGTTGGAGGATGCAGGAAGTACATTTGGGCAGATCCTGAGGTCAAGAGGTGAAGAGGTCAAGATGCAGCAAGGGAGCACTCATGATGCCCTGGTCTCCTGGTGCCCAACCCCTTTCCCAGCACTGCTTGCTCAGGCTGTTACATTTGTTCCTCTTCACCTAGAGGATCCCTGAAGTCATCCTATAATCAGCTCTCCACCAACCCTATAGTCATTCTGGATTTCTGAAGATCTCCACTTGCTCTTAGAAAGACATTTAAATTAGATTAGAAAATTAGTTCATGTTAAAGTGTGAATGACTTAAATGTCTGTCATTCCTAATGAACATTTGGGGTGTCATTTGGGATGCAGGTATAAAGAAGAATAAGATTGTTTGGGATGTTCTGTATGAATATAAATAAATAAATAAATAAATAAATAATAAATAAATAAATATGAATTTGCCTAAAAGAAATCTTGTTTGGGGAGGTATAGCCAAACCTGTTTTTAGGGAGGGAGGTTTTGGAAATTAAATTGTCTTTGGCCTTTATGGTCTACTTGAAGAAGTCACTCCCTTTTTTCTGATCCACTTGTGCAAGATTCTGCAAGAACTGGTTGTCAAGCCAGGCTGAGGGTTTTGAGGTGGGGGGGCGGTTCCAGAGCAACCATTAGAGGGCACTGGCAACCAGTATGCTGACCCAGAAACACCTCAGTCCACTGACAACCTTGCTACCCCATCCTAACCGGAGACCACTGCTGCTGTTGGAGCCTCCTGGTGCTCAGGTTCAGCAGCCAGCCTGAACTTGGCAGGAAGGCCAGTTATCAAAGCATTGTGGTCAACAGCACATTCAGCTCAAAAACTCCCCAGATGTTATAGAAGAAGCAGAAAAATGATAGATAATATAAAAATTGTATTAGAAGCTGGGGCTACAGGGAGACCCTGTCTCAAAAAGACCAAAAAAAATGTATTAGAGAAAAATAAGAACATGCAAGTCTGGTAGTCCTCTCAACTAAATTTCAGTTGTTCTCAAAGCTGGGAGATTGTGGTATGAGGTTCATTTTCTAAAGGGTCACAATCAAGATTTCAGACCTTTGAAAGTGTCCCCTCTCCTTACAGCTAACACTCCCACCCCTCACCTGCTCAGACCTCCTAGTTGGACAATTTCCTGAAAGCAGCTTGTTTTGTTCTTTCTTGTGTGTATTTCCCACAGTAAATAAATGTTGTCTTATTTGTGTCATTTTTGAAAAAGCAAAGTAGTGGGGAACTGTCAAGTGTTGGGTTTTTCATAAGTAGAGGGTGTAGTAATCCAATAATGAAAATCCCTGGAAAATATAACACTGCAATTTGTTCATTTTAATAGACCTACACCTATTACGATGTCATATACCGGGGGAAATTCTCTGAACTAAATCAAACACTATGCTTGTCGCTCTCAAAGTACACCCTGTCATGCCCCTCTGCAAAGATTTGAGGGATAAAGGTGGGGTTTTGTCCCTACACCGTTAGCTGACACACATGCATCAACTTTTATAATACTCAAAAGAAAAAATAGCCATAATCTGAGCATACCTCATAAACTGACAATACCAACATACTTTTATTTTACTTGATTCCTTGCAGCCATTCTGCAAAAACCTGTCTTCCCCTATTTAAATATGGAGGCTCTGGGGGGCATCTAAATGCTGAGGAGACTGTCCCGCCCTCGTTGGAAACTTCCTTTGCCTGAACGTGGGTCAATTCAAACCGCTGCACTATCCCGCAGTCCTTTTGAGGGCGTCCGATGCAGGGTGGTTCAGGACCTTGGACAGTTCCTGCTCTGCCACCTGTTTTTAACCCCAGCTGGATACTAGAGAAACTTTACTGCCCTGTCCTGTAATGACTCCAGAATCCGGTAACTAGCACAGCGCAGCCGCCGGGTCTGCTAAGGAGGACAGGGAAACGCGGGTTCCAGGGTTACAACAACAACAACAAAATCTGCACGGCAAGGTGCTTATTGTGACCCAGCCTTCCCTCCTGCTCCTCTTTCCAACGTGAATTAACCTTAGAACATATATTGTCTTCCTTTAAAGAAATGACCACATGTCCAAAAATATCAGGAAAACGAGGAGTCTGAAACGGAATCTCCCAAGATCTCCCCAGACAGTAGTTGGAATCTAAGGGGGTCCTAGCAGCCCAACGTCTTGGTTTCGCCATCTCCCGCCAAGACAGAAGATTCCTGGCACTGCCGAGGCCCCCTGCTCCCTAGCGTATCCCGTCCGGTCACCCATCCTCGGGACTCAACCCTTCCCCATCTCAGGAAGTTTGCAAAGAGCTCAGGTCTGCGACAAGCCAGAGGGGCCAGTCGGTATTACCGGCCCAGAGCACCTGCTGACCCGGGCAGGGCTCAGGTTAGGAGTGCTGCCCTGCGCTGCGACGCCCTTACCGGTGAGGAGAGGCAGCCCTCTGCGGACGAGGATATTCGGTGGCCTCTCTCAGTCACTTTTCTTCCCCTCTTTCTCCTCCTTTGCCGCTGTATGGTCCCTGTCGCCCTCCTCAGTCCTTTTATACCTGCATGGCTCTGCGGCTGAGCAAGTCTCCCGGCCCCGCAAAGGGGGGCCGCGGGCCGAGGGAGGGGGACCTGCCAGGTGGGGCTGAGCGCAGGGCAGAAGTGCTTGGGAAGGGCGGAAGCCGCATTAGCACTGTCCTGTTGAGGCGCACACCTGGCAGAGATGGTAAGGAAGAACTTAATTAAGGACGGTGTTGGGTCTCCACTTAGGATGGATAGGAGTCTTAGCATTCCGGTGTGAAGCAGGCATGGCGTGGCTCTGAGGTTGTTGAGATGAAGATGGAATTACCTGTGTGCCTGCATCTGCCTCTTTGGCATTTGGAGGTAAATATCACTGATAAAAGAGTGTGTCTGTTATGCCTCAGATTTCCCTAGGGTTTGAAAACTGTGACGTTCAGTGGAACCAAAATCTCTCTGTTCCACTTTGGAAAGGAAAACAACAGAAGCTGTCAGGAGTCACTCCTGGCATCCCAGGGCAGGCTACCTGTTAGGGGGTGTGCAGGTGAGTTGTACAAACTGCCTGGGCCTGCTCCCCAATGCTTCTCCAGGGCAGATGCCTTGTCCAGGGCAGGTGCCTTCCTCTGCCCAAACCCCAAAGAAAAAAACAAAAAGGTTCTGTTGATTGAGGCTATTAATCAGGAGGGTCAGTGCTCTGGGAAGAGCAATTGAAGCTCTTTGTTGTGGCCTCTGATTCCTTTCTGGGCAGTGAGCTAGCAGAGTGGTCTGGGGACTCTCAAACGGCCTTCACCATGTGGTCAGGCTCAGGCATTCTGGCTTGACCCTAAGTTCACAGACTAGGCCTGGAGAGAGACTGATCTAGAGAGGAGTCTGCCCCAATCTGCATAAAGAGGCAAAAACAACTTGTGAGGAGAGGTGTGGGTGGCAGGAAGTACTGAGACTAGATTAGACTTGAGTCTAGGTGTCTGTTGGTCTGCTATCTGAAGGGCCTTTGTCCCCAGTTACATGCTCTTTTGAACTCCAGGACTCTTTTGAGAACTCCAGGACTCTTTTGAGAACTCAGCTTTTCTGGTTGATAGCACTGACTTTGCATTCAGAAAGAGAGAACCAAGTTTCCTAACAATAAGCAAGGGTTTTGTCACTAGGCTTTGGCCATTCTGGAGGGTCATCACCAGCTCTCCATCTTGTGTCCTGGGTCCTTGCCCACTCCCCAACATTCACACTATATGAGCACTACTTTCTCAGGCTACCGCTTGTCCCAATGTTCCAGAACCAAGTTGAGCATCCTTCCTCCCTCCTACTGTCAGGAACTGACCCACATTAAGATCTATGTCTCCACCAGCACCTGTTCTCTTAAGTCCCTTTTTGGCGGTTCTTCCTACCAGGGTTCTGAGATATGAACTTCCTTGCTCTGTACAGAACTGCATTCCTGTCTCTTCTGTACATGTAGCTTGTACTGTTTTGACTATTTTCACTCCTGTCTTCCGTTCTCTCCATTTACCTCTGCCCCTACCACCATCAGGCTTGTGAACTCTTTTCAATCAGATGGCCATTTTGTTTTATTTTTCTTTGCATTATTTTTGTAATGTTAGGAGACTACTGGTATTGGCATAAAAGTCAAACAAAGCCGGGCATGGCGGTGCACGCCTTTAATCCCAGCACTCGGGAGGCAGAGGCAGGCGATCTCTGTGAGTTCGAGGCCAGCCTGGTCTACATAGTGAGTTCCAGGCCAGCTGGGGCTACAGGGAGACCTTGTCTCAAAAAGACAAAAAAAAAAAAAAAAAAAAAAAAAAAAGTCAAACCAGAAAAAAAAAATGTTTGAGTTGGTCCTGCTTCCTCCATCAGCTGGGTTCTTAACATATACAGAACTCACTTTAGCCAATGTGAACTGAAAAGTCATTGAAATACATTAGGAAATACTGGGCAGATTTCAGGATCAGTATGTAAAAACAGGCAGGGGAAACGAGTGGCTAGGATCATGGTCAAAATCAGACAGACCACTGGATCCACTGAATGAAGAAAAATAGACCAGAACCAGGGGAAAGAGGCCACAGGTGCTCTGTCAGCATGACAGGCATTAATATGAGTGTCACTTCTGTGCTACAGTGGGAAATTCATGCTCTCACTACACCTGATGCCTCCAGGAAGACATCACCACTGCCACTGAATCCTCATACCTCTCATTCATCTTTGAAAGCCCAGAGCAGATGCCTCTGAAAGACCCAAACAATACAACTTCCCTCTTTTATTCTAGTAATGTTGCAAATTCTTATTATATTGTTGATTGATTTTTGAACATTGAACTTACTGTGCTTTCATAGATGAAGTTCAATTTTATTATTATGTGTGTCCCTTATATTGCTTACATTTAAATTAAGACTTTTACATCTATTTTCATGAAACTGACCTCTAAATTTTCCTTTTTTCAGAATTCTTGTCAAATTTTGGTATCAGAATTATGCTGCTATGGGGCTGGAGAGATGGTTCACTGGTTAAAAAACTTGCTGCTGTTACAGAGGACCCAGGTTTCATTCCCAGCATCCGTATGGCAGTTCATAATCTTCTGTAACTCCAGTTCCAGGAGATCCACTGCATGCATGTGGTCTACTTACATACATGCAGGCAAAAGCACTCATACACATAAAATAAACTTTAGATTATGCTGTCATAGAACAGGTTGGAACTCCCCTTCCTCCTATTATAATTCTGCCAAAGAATGGATGGAAGTGGCATGATCTCCCATGAATGTTGAGGATAGTTCATCTGTGGTCCCTCTAGGCTTTTATGGTGTTTTGTTTGTTTGTTGAACAGTTTTTTTAATGTTTATTTTTATGTGTATGTGTGTGCACCCATGTCCTGCAATGCCCACAGAGGACAGAAAAGGCTGTTGGATCCCCTGGAACTGGAGTTACAGACAGTTGTTAGCTGTCATGTGGGTACTGGGATTCAAACCCAGGTCCTCTACAAGAACAGCCAGTGTGTTGAACAGTTCTTAACTACAGCTTTAATTGCTTAAATACTGCTATTCCCATTGTTTATCTTCTTGTGTCAATTTTAGTAATATGTGATTTTTCCAGGAATTCCTCCATTTCATCTAAATTCTTTAACTTTGGATTAAAATAACTTATTATATCTTCCTTTTCTGTTTTGTTTGTTTGAGTAGGGTTGCTTTTTAACTTTTGTGGTACAGGGTTTGAACCCAGGGTGTTACACATGCTAGGTACTCTACCACTGAGCTACAGTCCCAGGCCAATTATAGTTTCTTTTTTTTTCTTTATTCACTGTTGTTTACTTTTTTCTTTTCTTTTTTTGAGACATAGTCTCACTATGTAACCCTGGTTGACCTGGAGCTCGATAATATAGACCAAGCTGGCCTCTGCTTCCCGTGCTGGGATTAAAGGCATGCACCACCAGAGCTGGCTTCTTATCTTCCTAGCCTCTGTGGAATCTGTGGTCAAGCTGTGGAATCTATGGTCAAGCTTCATGTCTGTATTAGTAATTTATGTTCCTTTTTTCCCTTGAGAACTTATAAATTTTATCAGTTTTTACAGTGGTCAACTTTGCTATTATTAATTCTATTGAATGTATGCTTTTCTGTATTTTTGAAATTTCTACTGTTAGTATTGCCTTCCATATTCTATGGGTTTAGTTAGCTATCCTTTTCTACTCAACTTGGATACTGAGAAACTGATTTTACTTATACCACAAATATTCAACCTTTTTTTTGCATATGTGGCTATGGCCATAAATTTCATTCTAAGTATGACTTTTGTCTTTTGCTACCATTTAGTTCAAAATATCTCATTTTCATCTTTGACCTATGGTTAGCTTCTAAACACTGGGGATTTTTTGGTTATGTTTAGAATTTTTTTTTTTTTGCTTAATTTCTCTGTAGACAGAGTATGCTCTGTTTGATTTCAATCCCGAAGAAATGTTCATAGCTTAATGGGTGAACATGTGGCTCATTTTGATCAATGTTCCATGTGTGTTCCAAAAGGATATATATCCTGCAGTTGCTCAGACGTTCTATGCTCTCTATGCCTGAACCTGTTCTGACTATTTGTCGCCTTACTCTATTAGTGAGAGAAGTATGCTTTTAAAAATCTCCCCTTTGGGAGCTAGAGAAATGACTCAGCAGTCAAGAGCACTGGCTGGTCTTTCAGAGGATCCAGGTTTGGTTCAAGCACCCACATAACAGCTAACAACTGTTTGTAACTCCAGTTCCTGGGGATGTGATGCCCTCTTCTGACCTCCATGGGCATTGTACAACATGGGTGCACTTACATACATGCAGGCAGTACACTCATACACATAAAAATAAAAGTAATAAAATATTTAAAAAATCTCCCCTTCTGTGGATTTATCTATTTTTCCCTTTGGTCCTAGAATAAAAACAAAACAATTCTTTTTTTAATATTTTATTTATTATTTTTATTTTATGCTTGTATTGCCTGCTTGTAGGTAAGTGCACCCATGTCATGCAGTTTCCATGGAGGGCAGAAGAGGCTGTCGGATCCCCTGAAACTGGAGTTGCAGACAGTTGTCCGCTGCCATGTTGGTGCTGGGATTCGAACCCAGGTCTTCTGCAAGAACAGTAGTGTTCTTAACCACTGAGCCATTTCTCCAGGCCCAACAAAACAATTCTTTCTATAAACCCAATAGTGGATGGAGGTCAGTGGTGACGGGTAATGAAGGACCAAGGGTAAAGATAATCAACGGCAGGCACGATGATGGCAATCCTAGAATCCCAGCACCTGGGAAGTTGAAGCAGGAAGATCAAGAGTTCCATGCCAGTCTGACCTATGTAACAAGACCCTGTCTAAAAAAAAAAGGAAAGGTTAGAACATGTGCACTGAGGGGAATAATCCAGAAGGGGAGACTTGATGCTGATGAGGGTAGGGAAAAAAAAAAAGTACTCCAAGTCTTAAACAGATCAAAGATGGAATCCAGAGAAAGAATCTGATCCTTGAACACTGGTTGGCCTTTCTCTGCCATTAC